GTTCTACATTTTGGGAGTTCATTTTTAGTCCATCTCCTACCCTGAGAAGTGTGTCTTGCAGAGACTGACAAAAATGAGCTCCTAAAACTTACTGCCAGATTCTGGAAGATCAATTCTTCAAACAATGGTACAAGAGGACGTGGTGCTGGTCCTTCAAGAGTCACTCTCAACTTATCGGTCCATAAAGCCTATAAAAATAGTCTTCATGTATTTCACAACAATTCAGCATGTTATTCTAATTAAGTGAGGGGCATTTTTTTGGATTTTTTACCCAAGTAAAGTCTCTGAGAACCTGACACCTTGTACTTCTGGAGACTCCAGGAAGGTTGCCGTTCTGGAAAATAGTGGCGCTGGAGACTAAATGCTTCCTGATGGTTTCACACCTAATTCTTCACATTAATTCTTAATTCTTTGGCAGTTAACGTTTGTCTTTTCTTCTTCTCCTGTTTTTTTCTGACCCCGCTGTCCCAGTGAGCATTTTGCTGACCAATGGTCATGCCTTAACTTTGGCATTTCTGTATTGCATTTGTTTTTAATATTTCCTATGGGGATTTAATCATTTTTTACTTCTCAGTCTGAGTTAATTCTCTCTTTTTTTTTGGCTCATTTCATCCGTAAAAAAAAACCTGCCTAATAATTCTGCACACCTTAAGGAGTTTTTCATTTCTAGCCTTCATGGACAATTATATACATTATCACTTCTAAATTATTAAATACAAAAATAATAGTAGTTATTAAGATTGATGTGGTTTGGAATTGGTAAAATGTGCTTGGAAAAAAATATGATCAGAATATCAACGTGCCTAATAATTATGCACACACTGTAAGATGTGCTCCCTTTACACAGAGTGCCGCTATATCACAAAATCGAAAGTGAAATTGAACAGCAAGCGCTTATTCAAATGCGATTTCAATACCCCGCATATTGATACGGCTCCCTGAAAATTATGGGGTTAAAGCAAAAAAAAAATCTTTTGACTGAATTTTTCTTCAGCCAAATCCCATTCCACAGCCATACCCGTCACACGCCCAGTTTAAGAGCAGTGTTTGTCTTCTTGTGATTAGGAGTGCTTGTCCTCCTAATTTAAAAAATGTAGGAACACCTTCTGATCAATAATAAAAAATTCTGATTAAGAATTAGCCTTCATAATACAAGCTGACATTTGACTCGAAGTGATTTCAGGGGCATTTTCTTTTTACCTTTGTAAATGCATTTTTCTAATTTTATTAAATGCATGCAGTGTTTCCTCTAGGATTTTTTCCAGCTGTGGTGGCAGGACTATTTATCATGGACCACGCGTTTGCGTTTTCATGTGGATGGAGATTATTTTAAAAAACGGAAGAAGGAAAAACTCTGTTTATAAAAAATACAGGTGTACATGTGGACATGGCCTTATTTGAACTAAAAAAGACAAGTAAATCGTAAATAATAAAATAAGAACAAATAAATGAATGACAATCAATAGCACAAACAAAAACAATAAGAAATGTTTTCAGTTAGGTCTAACGATCTATACTCAACTGTAAAATAACACTGGATAGTCTTCACTGTATAATGAAAGGCAGCAGCAGGTTTATTTAGGCTGCTGTCTCTTTAAGACCTCATGCACGGATCTAATATACTGTTACACTCTCAGCTTTCTCTGATATACTCTATGCTTACTTTTCTTTTTAGGAGCGCTTGTCCTCCTAATTAAAAAAAAATAGGAGCACCTTCTGATCAATAATCAAAAATTCTGATCAAAAATTAGCCTAATACGAGCTGACATTTGACTCCTTAAAGTGACTTACAGGGGTATTTTCTTTTTACATTTTCAATGGCATCATTTTTATCCATGTCAAATTTAAAAATGTATGTTTATAAGCTTTTTAAAATTTCTATTTAAAACAATATAATAAGTAGAATAAGACAAATAAGTTAGCAATCATATGAAATTAGTATTAATAAATTAATCTGTACTACAGAGGTTGCACAGAAGAACACAAAAGTGGCTTGTAGGTAAATTTTCAGACATTTACTGATTCTCAGAGGTGGCATGAGTGCAATTAAATTCATACAATCATGTGGAGATTCATGTTTTAAATATAAAATTTTGAATACAGAAATATTAAATGATTTAAATAACTGAAATTATACGCTAAAAATGAAACTAAAGTCACTGATTTTATCACTGAATCATTCATTCAATTGATTCGTTTGAACAGCTGATTCATTCAGGAATTAAATCTTTATGTATGGGTAATCATGAATCACTGACTCACTAGATTCGTTCAAAAACGCACTGACTGTGTTTGCTTTTAGAGATGCGCAGCGGCTCAGCTGTTACTATATTTGGAACTATTTTCGTTGATGCAATATATACAATAAGAATGTTTGCGGGAGCGTGACACACACGTTGCGGGAGTGGGCGGTAATGGTCAGAAATTCAGGGGGAGCGGAATTAAGAAAACTGTCCCGCTCAGGTCTCTAGGCTGCGTGAAAAACATTTTTTTTTCCACGCTCCCCCATCTCCACCCCCAATCATTAGTGCCGCTTGTTCGGTCTTTGACAGAACATATAGGACAATTTTTTAAATAGCGCCATAAACTAAATTGATTTCAAATTTAATTCAAGCGATTTCAAGGACCTATGTTTGTTTTCAAGTACTTTCCAGGCCTTGAATCCATATGTCTGAAATTCAAGTACTTTCAAGAAGCGTGGGAACCCTGTCAACTGCAATTAATCAATTAAAATTCTGGTACATTCAAAGATGGTACATTCATTATTCATGCAATAGTCAAGTGTTCACATACCTGAATAATATCTGCATGCACAATAACGAAAAGTACACACATAAGGGCCTCCATATACAGCAGTCTGATGTGGCAGGTGGAACTGGAATTGACTTCAGTCCAGAGGTTGTCTCAACATCGGTCTTCACTAACTGCCCTGGCTGAAACACAATTGAAATATAAACGATTATTATAAATATAGCTTCACAATGCTCATTTTGTCTTCTGTCAGACTGATATTTAGTCTTTACTAAATCGTTTGTGTGCTTTTTCAAATTATTTTTAAATTGTAAACGCCTCTCACAGTATCGCGTGAGCGTCCAGGATCCACGACAAAGCCTATTTTACGACAAGAACAAACACTTCACACGAGGTAAAGTTTTGAAAATATTAAATATATTATTGTAAAGTCACGTGTTTTAGTGACCAATTTAAACAACTAAAAGGGATAAACATAAATTTACCTCGGACTGTATCTTGAACCACCTCACGCGCAAATTAATCAACAGGGATATGTAAAATAACAAAGAGGGGAATTTGAAAACTTATTAACATACAACAATATACATTTAGAGTGAAATTTTAAATTACATGGAAAAAACGACGAATAAAAGCACATTTATAACGCTTACCTTTGGCTTAGCACCCATCCGCGGGTCGGTCAGATGACCGTTACGTTAACGTTACTGTTTGAATTTCAAACTGCTTCATGTCAGTGAAGGCGGCTGGGTCCCATCCTCTGTAGGTTTTATAAAGTGTCCTCAACGTAGAATAAAATCAATTACATACAGAATCTATCGCGGTGGTATCTTCAGTCTTTGGTAATATACAGAATTAATATCTTCCGTCTTCGCGGTTGCTTGCGCCATCATGTTTAACTTAACGTTACGTCCCTTCAGAATGAGACACGTTAAGTTCGCGGCTAATTTCAAAGGGTTTACTTTGCTTCAATTACCACCTGACAACACTTTAAACATTACCATTACAGTGTTTTTTGCTTACATATTTATAGACTGTGGAAGTAAATAACCGCCGTTTGACAATGTCCATGGTACAAGTGCTCATGCTCGCACGCGTCTATTGGAAGCGCATATACTTACTTGCCGACAAAACCCGCCAAAATAAAAGCCTGCTGATTTTAAGTTTGAAAATGATGAAATTTAAAAAAAGAAGTAAATATTAATATTTTATTTTTAAGTTTACTATATAATAATTGTATTTGTATTTAATACTCCCTTTTTATTTTAAAATATTTAAAATTATGTATTATCACACTTTATTTTGTTTAAAAAAAACTAACTAAACAAAGTGCAATAATATTATCTCTATTATTTATTTATATAGTTATATTTATTTATAGTTTATATACATATATAAACTATAAATATATTAAATATATATTTAAAATATATTTAAATATAAATATATATTTATATTAGTAAATATATATTTAATGTATTAAATAATGTTACATTAGTTAGCTAAACTTAAATTAGTTGTTTGGAATACACCTAGTATATTTAACTTAAAACAAATTAGTAACTTTTTTTGTAACTAAAAAGTGCTTTTTACTTAGATTTTTTAAGACAATCTGTTTGTATGCTTTTTTAAGATTAAAGTAAGGTTAACTAATTCGATTTTACAGTGCGTTTCTGGTTTCTGAGAGACAGGCAGGTGCGACAACATCCAAACTCCTATCCCATCCCAGGCTCATATTTGTGACATCAATCCACTGGGATTGGTAGAATTTGATGGGCTGTACCTCTGCTAAACCAGCACTTTGTCATTCTGCCTAACTGACTGGCCCCCTTGACCCTTGGGTGTGGGAATGCAGTTTAGCGGAGAACCAGTCAGATTTCTTGCTCCACTGGAAGCCCTCTTAGGAGTAGCACTCCATTAAGTGCTGTTGATTTACCAATTTCTTGCACTACTCCACTCTTCCACACATGTAGCACACACTAAGGAACATGCCATAGCATGTTTTAAAGCAGAGCTTAAATGCACCAAATACACACTATATTTTCAAATTACTGATTTCAAAATACACAGCCAGTGTCCATCAAATGCTAAATTGTTATGTTGATTGTGCATTTTGTAATTTCATGCACGTGCAGAAGACAGGTCTTTAAAACAAAAATGTAGGCCAACATGTATTAAATAATGGATTTACGACACACTTTAATAAATATGTACAGTGCAGTAAAAATGTCAAATGTACCATTAAATGTAAAAAAAAAAAGCTAATATATAAATGTCTTCCCAGCACATAGTGAGGTCTATGGGCAGTGGTCTACTGCCTGCACTGGTGAATGAAGTGCTGAGAAAGGACCGGAGTCCTGCCAACTGTCAGGCTATCCTCAATCAACTTTTACAGGTAAGATTGTGCTTATTCAAATATGATATTAAATACTACTGTGCAATAATGACAATACAATTTTATTGCAGATATGCAGTGTGAAAGAACCCCTTGATATTTTACTTCAGCAAGTGGAGGACACTGATCCAAATGCCATTGCAGACACCATCACTGTCCTTATGCCTCTTATTCAGTCAGGTAACTGAACAACTGCGGAGGAAAAGAACCTCAAAACAGCTAAAGCCATAATCCTGATGCATCCTGCAAACCAGTATAAAACAGTGTTTCAACTTAAAAATACAAGCCAAAAATAAACAGGGCTCCCTCTACTGCCACTGCAAGTAATAACACATTTTCTTTTTGTTCCCCACCCAGTGCTGTTGAGAATGAGTGAGTCGAAGGCCCATGGACTGGCTTTGGCCCTTGATTCTCTGCAGAAACAGATTTCAAAGCTGCCTGTACCTTACTCACACAAACAGGAACAGGAAGATGTGTATGGGCTCTGCCGATGCTGCACTGCAGTACTGACCTTTGTACAACCCTTTGTGCAGGAAGTCAAGAATCAAGACACAAACTCAGTGGCCACCAAACAAAGAGCTGCTCTTCTAAAGTTGTATGTTAGAACCTGTTCTTACTAATGCAGTCAATGAGGCATTGACCCAATTGTGTTAAGTCATGTCAATTTGTATGGTGCTTTTACAATACACATTTTTTCAAACAGTTTTAAAGAAAGCAGGGCTCGACAATAAGGAGTGCCCGATGGCCCGGGGCCAGCGTGAAAGATGTTTGGGACAGTAGACGGATTTGTCACTTGCCCGATCGGGCCACTGCAGCGTCGTCACGACATTTGATCGTTTGCATGTTTTTTAAGCCTTGTTAATTTCAAACTTCAAGCGATTAAATAGCATTTGGGAAAGACAACTGCTTTCAGTACTGTTCTGTTCTGTGTGAAACACAGAGGAGAAAATACTGTAGCAGGCAGAACAAGTTCACTGTTCACGATGCGCGAAATATAGGAAGAAAATCCAAATATTGAATTTTATATGAATGTGTTTCTGAGGGGAACTGACTGTTTTCAGAAATGGCGTTTTCTTTTCATTTTGTCTCTGTATAATGCATTTAAATTAGTGTTAATACAAGCAGCTGCTGTATTTTCAGCGGTAACCAAGGAAACGCTGTATTACTGTTCCATAAGCGCCGCCTGCTGTCAGAGAGTGAATCTGCATCTCATTCAGCCCACCTGCTGTTTCTGTTTCATACAGATGTTTTATGTAGCATAATTTCACAAGGCTAAAGTCAGGTCATTCTGTTTTTGCTTCAGATTTTGAAATGATACAGTCTAATATAAATCAAACATTGCACTTTTTTTCAATTCATGATTAAAATGCAGTGGTTGCCTCTAATTTCAAATGGCTATAAAAAATCAAGTTGCAACACAGAGTGAAGAATATGCAATGTTATTTTATGTGATTTTTCAATTTCTGTACCTGAACATCTGCAAACATAAAAACCTAAAGCATCATTTCATTTCTAAATATAGTGCTATAGGCCTATATTTAATTGTGCTACTACTTAATTTGTTTATTTGTTCTTATTTACTGGCTGTCACTTGTCTTTAATAATGTTTAAACTTTATATTTATGTTTGGCTAGTGATTTTTGCTGTGGTATCATATTTGAAATAGGGAATTGTACAATTTAATTGGTATCTAAAATATTGGTGTCATATAATATAATCTTATTTATTAGATTGTACAAGATCGTAACAATGATAACAGCAACTATTTTATTTTTCGTGGCAGGGCCAGTGAAAATGTTGGCAGTGCAAGTAAAAATTTGCACCACTGGCCCAACCAGGCCAGTAGAAAAAATCCTTAGCGTTGATCCCTGGAAAGTCACACTGTTATGTCTATAATGCCATAGTGCTTTATCACAGAGCAAGTTTTGGGACTGTGGGATATAATGATATGAGCGATCGTCCAGATTTAGATCTAACTATATTGTATTTATAGTGTTAGTATTAGATTTAACAGTGCTGCAGTGACGTCTAAACATTCAAAAGCCATTAAGATATATATTGGTCGGTACTGATCTATTAAGAAATTTAAATGTTGGTTATTTTGTTCAAAGCAAAAGCAAGCGATTCTCAAAAAGTATTAATATATAGTTCAGTCATGAAACTCTAGATGGCGCAGGCGACGGGTTGTTAACCTAACCGATGATATTCAGAGAGTTAAACGACTTGGCACTGCTGATTGGTTCATGCTGCATATGCAGCCAATGAGCATACTGCCTTGCATTTATATGGCTGGCTAGCATTCACTAGAGATTCCTGCAGCGTGCTTTCAGAGTTTCTCTGAAACCCTCCACCTTCCCCAGCTCCACCTGTATAGATCTGCTACGGGTTATTTTATATGCTATTTGTGCAGCAACAGTATGTCTTAAATACTCATGGCACCGTATCGCCATATGCATTGGCAGTAGCAAGTTCCTGTACTTTCTTGCAGCAGCAGCAGCAATAATCTACAACAGCAGCAATTCAGCAACAGCGTAGCAGATCTATTCCGCCAAGACCAAATACATTAACATTGTCATATCCATCACCATGCTAAAATCTTCCGAGAGTTGTCATGATTGAAATGAAAATATGATCGGTTGTCGCAAGACTGAAAAACTCTTGAAACATCGAAATTCTCTGGCCCTAATGATAATAACTATGGGATTTAGACAATGTTCAGTTTTGTTCTATGCAAGAGAAACCATCATTGAAGATATGATGGGGTGTCTTAAGATAAAAATAACCGCTTGTCAGAGTCTGATGTCAGTTAACATTTTGCAAATTAGCAGTCATTTAAGCGACAATGTTGAGAAATATGTAACCCTTTGTTGATTATATGCATGTGATCTTAACCAGTATTTTACCTAATTCTTCACATTTTCCTTTCTTTCTGTAATTGCTCAGTTGCATGAAGAGTCTAAGGGAACCTCTCCTCCAAGTTCAACTGGACAGAGAGGCGAACATGACAGAAATTTCACCCTTGTGGAATTTTGCCACAGAAATAATGGTAATGATTTCACTTACTTTGTTGTTACTAATGGGCTTAGGCACGGTACTTTTAGGAAAATGATGACCTGACTTCTGAGTGCTTCTGTGCTTCAAATACTAGGCAATCCTAGCAGTGATCCAACAATCTCTGCCAAAAATCCTGTTCTATCCTTTGAGAGGAAAAGAAGACACAATTTCGGAGAAAGATGCTTTTCATCTGAATGAATCAAGAGCTTGCATGGCTTACTTGCTCTTTGTCCAGCTTATTGCCATAGAAGTGTTTCCTGCAGTGTTTAGGTAAGTAGCAGTTAGACCTCAAAAATTTGTTTTTTTCCTCATCTCACCATGTGTTTACCAGACTCAAAGACAGTGTGAACTGTTAAGGCCACAGATCTCTTGGGCTTTCAAAAGGGGTTAAAATACCCTTCACTTGCAGAGTTGAGAATCTTATTTTGTGCGCAAAAACATGCTGATATATTTGACACCAAAAGAATTTAGAGAGTTCCATCATTTTTTCAGTTTGTGGTACACAATGTCTATAAGAAAGCAGTTTATGCAATCGCTACAGCTTTAATGTACCTGCGCTCTAACAAAAATGTTTAATTTAATATTTCAGCCCTGTTTTTGTCCTGCAGTGTAATATGGAATACATCAATCTTCTTTTAAGTAGGTGTGTAAACAACAATTTTTATTATTTAAAAATAAATAAATATAAATACCAAAATGGTGTGCCATGTATTTAGTCTGACTTTCCTTCCTGCTTTTTATCCCCATACAGAAAGGATGAATCATGGATATTGAAAGGACTGGTAGAGTAAACCTCCATCAAAACATTTATTATTACAGTCATTACAAGAACAGAATTATGATACAAGAATTATGTTCATGCTTTAATTTTCAGTAATGAGTAGTCATTTGCTAGAAAATGTCTTCTTGCATTTTTTAGGACTTACATGTTAAATGTTTGGAAAGAGTAACAGACTGCAGTCTCCCAGTGGAGCTCTTAGAGCTGAAACCATTTCATGAGGTTCCAAAGGTATGCAGCAATGCTATGTATTGTTATGGAATAAAGAAATAATATATCACCCGCTTCTTAAAACATACATAACTTCTTGGTGGTAAAATCTAAGGATGCACAATATATTGGTTCCATATCAGTAATCAGCCGATATTATATATATATATATTTAACTTATTGGTAGAATGATTCCCAGAATTGTAATAATTGGTGCATCCTTGGTAAAAAAAAAAAGGGTTACTATTTTAACGAGAATTGTTGTTATTTGTTCACAGAACTTAATTACAATTATGATTGACTGTCCAATCCAGCAATTGGTAAGTATGGATGAGACACAACATTGCTTTTACAAGTAAATCTGATCTGTTAAAGCCAGTTTTTTGTTTGTGGTCATGTGCCCTCTTTCATTTAGAGAGGAAAAAGCCTTGTGGTGTTCCAGCTCTTTATAGAGAAGCTTAATGGTGAAGCCAAGCATACATTTTTCAGGTATAGTATCTAGAAAGTTTAAATATATATTTAATTAAAACTGCTATCAATATGTGAATGCAATATTCTGGTTGACAAATCTAAAAAGTAGAACATTTTTCTCTGAGTGTCAATTGCTTATTCTGCCTTTGTTAAATGCTCGAAGACGCATCATGAAGACTAGCCATCATGCAGGTGTAGAAAGTATCATCATCAAAAACATAAAGAATCAAGTGGAACGCTGCAGAAAGGTAGTGCACAAAACATTGCTTATCTGTCTGCTTGTCCAAGTGGCAGGATTTTGATCAACACTGAATCACTAATGGTAGAAATATTTTTTTCTTTTGCTATTAAAGTCAGCCTATGATGACAGCTGGTTTGAGGGGACTCCGCTCATCTCACTGCTCAGAGAAACTCTCATTCTCCCACAGGGCCATGAAACCGACTTGCTACATGGGATGGACAGGTGAAGAAAACATGTATTTTTACAAAGACCTTAAAGGAAAACAATAGCCGCTAAATGCTCAGAACTGCATCTTGATGGATCTAATCAATTTTTATATCAACAAATCATTGACATGAATCGTAACCCAAGTACAGCCTCCACATATGGCAGCTGTCTCTATTTTAAATGTTAGATCTCCTACTAACAAGATACAATCCATCCCTAACCATAATTTATTTATGAGTGTAGTCCAGGTTTACTGCCATGATCCCACAATACAGAACAGATGGTGAGCGGTCCAATATTTTGAGGCAGATCCTGTGTCATTCCTAAAATGATACTAAAACCTGAGTGATTGACATACCTCGTCTGAATACTCTGCCCCTGATAAATTACTTAGGCCTTCCTTCATCCTGCTGATATGCAAATGGTAAACCTGTCAGCTTTGACCACAATATGCACCTGTTCTGCATAACTCTCTGTATTAGGCAAAATAGATATCTTAGGTTGTTGTTTTTTCCCATATTCATATTTTCTTCATTGTTTTAAAGGGTAATGGAGTCTCTGAATCTTCTGCGGTATTTATTGATACAGGAAAGAAACATTTCTGTAAGATTTTTTACAGCATTTTGTCAAAACACAACTATATATATCATTACACTTATATTTTCATCATGTTCTATTAATAAGACCCACTCTGTTATTTTCAGACTGGAATATGGACAGACCTGTGCCACATTGCAGACAGTTACACGAAATTATTACGACTATGTCTAAGCATGTCAAAATCATACTACGGTACAGAGTTGAAAAGCAAAAAAGCTGTACCTGTGTAACAGAAAAGTGACAGCAAGGCAAAAAACGTTTAGCTTTTTACTTCTGCTGATTGTACTTCGGCTACAAAATGTTGTTCAAAGTGTTAATTTTGGACATTATAACAATGAATAAAACATGTAAGAATCATAACTTTTGTTGATCACAGAGCTTATTTTCTGCAGCAATCCAAAAGCCAATGGAAAAATGTTTTTTCTAGGACAGGGATCTACTGAGTGAAGGATAAAATAGTCTGGAGAGCTACTTGTTTGATATATATAATTCAACAATCTATGCTAGAAAATATTCAAGTTAAATTGATAGAAGTATAAATATTCATTTCCCTGAATATTTTACTGCCATATTATACATATCGATATTTATCACAATATGCATTTACCATTAATGGGGAAGGAAATGCTTTCCATGTTTGTTAGAACTTAAGAATGAAGGTAAACATAACTTTGTTTACAAATAAACTACACAGAGTAGCTACCTTTTAATTAGGCCCCCATGAAATCCATTGTGAATTAAGAAAACTTAAACCGTTTAATCGATCCTTTTCAAAAAATGTAATCAAAAGAAAATTGTTTTGCAACCAAACGTTGCATTTTTATTTATTTTTTTTGTACAATGCTGCTGTATAAATTAATTGAGAAAAAAAACAAACAAACCTGGTTGTAAAATATTTCTATAAAAATTATTATTATTATTACTTTGAAAAGTTAAATATTAGCATACAGTAATATATTTCTGTTATAATTTTTTTCAAATTAAAACAAACTTTTATTTTGAGCTTTGTCCTCATTGATAAGCAGATGCTGAAAACGCTGTGAAACCGTGTCATTCCTTCACAGTTCACAAGGAGACATGCAGAACATGCAGACATCATAACCACAATTCCTAATTTAGCCCTATTTCAGGGTTCCTCAAATCTTGTCCTGGAGGGCCAATGCGCTGCAGAGTTTAGCTCCAACCCTGATCAAAGTCAGCTACCTGTGATTTTCTAATGATCCTGAAGACATTGATTAGCATGCTCAGGTGTGTTTGATTAGGGTTAGAGCTAAACTCTGCAGGAAAGTGGATCTCGTGGGCCAGATTTGAGGATCCCTGCCCTATTTATTTAGCGTGCAACTCACAGACTCCAGGGCACCACGTTGGATATCATTGGTCTAGGCCAGAGGTAGGCAAGTTCGATCCTAGAGAGGCGCAGTCCTGCAGAGTTCAGCTCCAACCCTGAAAACAAAACTCACCTGCCTTATAGCCTTAGTAATCCTGAAGACATTGATTAGCTTGTTCAGGTGTGTTTGATTAGGGTTGGAGCTGAACTCTGCAGGACTGCGGCTCTCTAGGACCGAACTTGCCTAGCCCTCCACGTTCCTGGAGCCCCGTCCCCCCCAGGCCCCAGCACTGAACATTTTGCATCTCTCCTTTGATTGACACACACATTTCAGGTCTTGGAATCTCTACTAATGAGCTGATGATCTGAATCAGGTGTGTTTGATTAAGGAGACATGGAAAACATGCAGTGTTTGGGGGCAACACTCTATGTAGGTTACATTTAAGTAAACAAATCAATATTTTCAAAGTTTACTTTAATGATTAGACAGTAACAAATAAAAAAAGCTGTATTTACGACGAAGGAGGAACTAACAAAAAGGCTAAATGTACCTCTCCTACAAGCAAAGTTTCTCGAATATCGAAGCTAGTGATGGGAGAAACGAAGCATTTCGAAGCAATTGAACCAATTGCTTCGCAAAATGATTCACTGCTTCGAAGCGCACCACACGCTGGTGGTCGAAACTGTGTAAATGCAACAAAAACTCAGACCAAAACATGCATACTGAATCAGGTGTGTTTGATTAAGGAGACATGGAAAACATGCAGTGTTTGGGGGCAGCACTCTATGTAGGTTACATTTAAGTAAACAAATCAATATTTTCAAAGTTTACTTTAATGATTAGACAGTAACAAATAAAAAAGCTGTATTTACGACGAAGGAGGAACTAACAAAAAGGCTAAATGTACCTCTCCTACAAGCAAAGTTTCTCGAATATCGAAGCTAGTGATGGGAGAAACGAAGCATTTCGAAGCAATTGAACCAATTGCTTCGCAAAATGATTCACTGCTTCGAAGCGCACCACACGCTGGTGGTCGAAACTGTGTAAATGCAACAAAAACTCAGACCAAAACATGCATAAAAACAGCTTTTACAAACCCAATGAAAACGCTTTCAAAATCAAAATAATACAATTTTGATTGCAAAAAGTTTAGTGTGTTTGTTTTATGGAGAGCTTGTCTAAACAGGCCAGTAAGAGACTATTACCGGTACTAATCATCCTTTAAATTACACAAATGTCTCATTAAAAATATCTACAAATTGATCAAACTGATCCGAGATCGTATAAACAGACGCTGATGCAGTGGTGTGGGGGTCGATCTCAGTGAACTCGCATGACTCACGGGTTCACAGAGATCGCCCCCTAAGAGCCTCGTTTACTGAAATCACGTGACTTTAGCATTTTGATACGTGCTCCGATTCCGAACCACTGTTTCGAAACAATTGATTCGCAAACGTTTCGAAGCTTCACGAAGCAGTGTTTCAAAAGCGGCCATCGCTAATCGAAGCTAGCTATACATGCTTAAAACAAAAGAGGAGGTAACTTGGGCAGGTGAAGTGGTGCACTTTGATAATGCCTGTTCAAACTCGCAGCGCGTTAATGTTCTCTTGTCCTTAGCCTATAAATGAATTCTATTATAATATTTCTAGATTGGAATGGAACGTTTTTCTTAGCGGAACCTTTTTACATTAAGCTGCACATTCGTTAAATTATTTGATTGAAAAACAAGGAAATTCCAGTAGGACATCTTCTTGATATAGGGATTAAATTTACTGAAAAAAATGTAACTCCTTTCTACCTGACAAGGGGGAAACAAAGGAAGAGGACAGAATGTTGTCCGAGCGGCGAATCCTGTGCTGCTGCGCTGCAAGAATCTGCGAGGCTTCATCACACTGCGAAAACAACACGAAACATAAACAGAGAAGTGCGTAAATAGCAGAGAGTTACGGGTTTTAATCCGTCAGTAAATCAGTTAGTATGATCATAAACAGTATTTTCCCTCAAACCTGAGGTGAGGTGCTGATTATAAGTGTTGTTTTCCAAGAGGTGTTGGTATCGATTGCCATTTCCAGTTTGTTGTAACGTTAGCTATATTCGGTTGTGGCGCTAACCGTTTTAACAGTGAGCACATGGGCACAAAGTGGGACATACAAAAACATTTCTGAAATTCATGTTAATTAAATACATTTTTTACTCAAATTGTTATGCTCATAATATAATTTATTTTAAAAATACTTAGTAGAGCAGTGGTTCTCAAACTTTTTACACCAAGTACCACCTTAGAAAATATTTGGCTCTCCAAGTACCACCATAATGACCAACATTAAAATACAGTAGCGTTGTACGCCTAATTATTCAGCTACAGCTATGCACAGTTTTAAAAAAAGGCAGTTTTATTCCCAGTAAGAATATTTATTATTGTCTGCCACTTTAAACATTGTAAATAAATACAGTTTGAACATTAACACTGCACTGTGCTTACATACAGGCAAATAAAAAACTTAAATTATTAAATTAAAATGTACTGTATACCTAAAAGTTAAATGAAAACGGCACTGTACTTAAAAAGTAAAAAAAAAAAAAACTTTACTGTACTTGAAGTAAAACATATACAGTACTTGATCAAAAAATTAACACCGGCATCATTTAGCCACCTGGCAAACTTTTAAAAGGTGTTTTAACAGTGTTTCCCAACCTTTTTTTCTTCCACGGCACAGTTTTGAAATGTAAAAAATCCCACGGCACACCACTAAGCATTACAAAAAAAAAAAAAGATAGAAAGGGGAAACGTATTTTAGATTTTTCCAATAATTAAGCATTGCGTCATCAGAGCTGGTATTTTGGTTTATATATGATCAGACACTTGCACTTACTTTCTGAAAATCATACTCAAATGTAGTTAATGAGGCTTTTGACGAGTGAGTGACAGATCTGTGTTTTGTCCATCATTAGAACGGAACGCATCACGTTTTCACCAGTTTGCAGTTTATAAAGTTTATTGTAGCTATATGGGCGCTCAGTTTCTCTTGTTAATACATTTGGCCAAAATCTCACGAAATAAAATACGAACAGCTATGATATTTAAAACATACAAAAGTGTATTGTCTACAACTAAACAGCAAATGCTAAGACTCTTCTCTGCTCTTTATACACACAAAAACATTAGCCTTTATAGACAGCGTTTCTTGAGTAAAGGAAACACTCTACTTATTGAAACATCAGTTCTTTATTTACCCTTGCATTGCAAAGAAGTCTTCAAACTGCGGGACAGTGGGAAAGTCTTTGCTTCGTAACCGGCAGCTCTTTACAGCGGCCTCCGAAGCAGACAAACAGCTGCTCTGATTGTCTGAAAAGACCAGAGTGCTCAATGTACACTCAAAGGGCCCTCACTGGGTAGAGTGGATTGGGACCCTGCTCGCCGTCTGCAGCGGGGAGCGCTAGAAGGATAATAACCTGGGCTCTGAATGGAGTTGAGAGCAACTTAGGTACATAACCGTGTCTTGGCATGAGGATGACCTTACAGTCGTTAGGCCCAAACATCAGACAGGAAGCAGTGCCTGCAAGTCACCCACTCCCTTGACCAACGCTAATGCCAAAAGGAGGGAGGTCTTATGCAACATAGGCCGCAAGTCGGCCGAATGGAGCGGCTCGAAAGGCGAGCGCTTTAGGGCCCTTTAGGACTATGGATAAGTCCCAGGTCGGCACGGTCTGAGGGCGAGCAGGATACAATCTCCGGGCGCCCTTCAAGAACTTAACGACCAAGTCGTTTCTGCTGACTGACTGGCCAGCTTCAAGGGAATGATTTGCGGCGATAGCTGGCACATAAATTTTGAGCGTGGAAGGGGCGCGCCCATTATCCAGTAGCTCTTGTAAAAAGCACAGCACGTCACAAGATACTGGGTCCAGGCTTTGTGCTGCACACCAGTCACTGAAGACTGACCATTTAAGAGCGTAGA